CAGCCTTGCCAACGTTTTGTTAGCTGCCTTGCCACCGCTGGCGGCTGGGATTCCGGGGCCGGAGCTGGCAGGCGTCCCCGGCCACCAGGAAAGCCCGGCAGAGCTCATTTAAAGCGCAGCCAGCGAGGATGTGTTTGGCCAGGCCGCAAGGTTGCCCCAACCTTGGCCAGACCCGATGGAACAGGCTTTTTTTGTGTGGTTGTTTTTGTTTTTTTCTCCTAGTATATATTTGAACACACTTTTCACCTAGGGAAATTAACACCCTTGACAGAGAGGACGGTGGGAATCCCTTCGCCCAGCGGGGTAGGGAGCGGAGTTACGGATTTCCTTCACCATTGGTGGAGCTGGAGGAAGACGATGGAAGACGCATTCGTGACTCCTGGAGGGAAAAGTAGCCAGCTCAGCCCTTTATATTAGACATCAGTGAATCCACACCAGAGAGGCGTGCGCGGACGCCAGGCTTCACCGGTTGAGCGAGGGCTTGTTTTGCTCCCTCTCTCCCCGCTCAGCTCGAACAACCCACTGGGTTTTGTCAAAGCCCAGCTTCGTGCAGGTGCCGCTTGCAGGGCAGCCAGCGGCGACGGTAAATCACTGCAGGCCAGTGCTGGGCTACTGCCACCGGCAGCTCTTGTGGACCCCATTTAGCACAAGGCTCCTGCTGGGAAGGGCTGCTCCTTCCCCTGTCTGGGCCTAGCTTTGCTTTCTCAGTATCATTTATCTTTTGCCGGGATCTTATTTGTGCGCTTTAAGCCTGGTGCAGTTGTGGCATGTCACCCGCAGCAGCGGCCTCGTGCCAGGCGTTGGGTTTTGTCTCCAATGCGGTCGGTTATTGCCGGCTTTTCTCTGCCAACATTCCCAGCGGGCCTTGAGCAAACAGACCGCGACTTGCCTGAACACAAGCCTTCCCTTTGGGCGGCTCTTTCTGACACCAGCGCCTGGTTTCTTCCTTTCTTCCCAAGCAAATCATTTCTTTCCCCCCAAGTTTTTGTTCTCTCCCTCTGATTTTCAAGGGCACACGATTAAAAAGTGGGGCCATCACCTTGTCCAAGTGTGGCCATCACCAGGTCCATGTGTGGCCATCACCAGGTCCATGTATGGCCATCACCTGGTCCATGTTGGGGGGTGAAAGCCCTCCGCAAGCGGCGGCGGCGGCTCCGCGGGCGCAGGGGCGAAGCGAGCGAGGCGCGTGCTCCGCAGCGTCCCCGGATGCAGGGGTGGATCACACCGAGCCTCTGGCGCCGGCTCAGCAGCGTTGACGGCGCCGGGAGCCACCCTCGCAGGGCTTCACCAGCAACAAGCGGACTAAGCGATTACACGTGCGTGCATTTTTTGCTGGTGGTATCATAGCAATCAAACAATGGTAAAGAGAAGCCCTCAGTTCCTCCGGCTCTGCAAATAAACGTATCCGAAGCCCTCAGTTCCTCCGGCTCTGCAAATAAACGTCTCCGCTTTTCCCTGGGTGTTTCGCGGAGAGCACAAGGCACGTAGCCCGTGTAAACAGCCCCGGCTGGACCTGCAGCCCCTGCAAACGTGCACCAGCTCTTCGCCATCCGGCAAGCTACACTTGCTCGCGCGGGTGGAAATCTCGCTGTCTGTTCTTAATAAAGCTGTTTGCAGCTGGAGCCTGTGCAGCGTGCGATACATTTGTGCTGAAACTCAACTTTCTTGTGGGCAGAGGAACAAGCGATCAATCATTTTGCTGTAGGAGCTGGAGAGGGGGAAGGCGGGTGGGTCTGTTTCTGTTTGTTTCTTTATGGTAATGCAAAACGTGCTCTGCCTGATGCAAAACAAGCTCACCACCACCCCCC